ACCTTGGTGAGGCATCTTTTGTTCTTGGCATTGAGATTCATAGGAATCGTTCTCGCCGACTATTGGGTTTATCTCAGAGGGCATATTTTGATAGTATCTTAGAAAGATTCAACATGCAGCAATGCAAGCCAAATATTGCTCTTATCATTAAGGGTGATAAGTTGAGTTTGTCACAGTGTCCTCATTCAGATTTTGAAAAAGCCCAAATGAAGAATGTACCTTATGCTAGTGCACTTGAGAGTATTATGTATGCTCAAGTATGTACTAGACCAGATATTGCTTTTGCAACAGAACTTTTAGGCAGATATCAGTCAAATCCAGGACACAATCACTGGGTTGCTGCCAAGAAGGTTTTGGGGTACTTAAAGAGGACAAGAAATTATATGCTGATTTACAAACATGTTCAGGACCTGCAGCTAGTAGGGTATTCGGATGCAAACTTTGCTGGCTATCAGGATGACAAGAAGTCGACAACAGGATACATTTTTCTGTTAGCAGGAGGTGCAATATCATGGAAAAGCGAGAAACAGAAATCCATTTCATCCTCTACCATGCAAGCGGAGTTCGTAGCATGCTTTTCGGCCGCTACTCATGCTATTTGGCTCCGAAACCTCATTAGGGAATTGACCGTATTTGATTTTGTAGATAGACCCATACAGTTGTATTGTGACAACAAAGCTGCAGTATTATTTATCAACAATAACAGAGGTCTCAAGGGGTCTAAGTACATGGAGGTCAAGTTCCTGACCATAAAGGAAACAATTCAAAATTGTGACATTGCAGTAGAACACATTTCGACAAATAATATGATTGCAGATCCACTAACTGAAGGACTTCGCCCTTGTGTATTTGATCGACATGTCATTAACATGGGTTTAGGAGTATCATGGGACTTTGTTAATTAGTGGGAGCTATTTAGTTTTGTGTTGCTCTTATGAAATTTGTATATGATTTTATTACATTTTGTAGCATTTAGATATGTATTAACTTTTTGCATTCAATGAGGTATTTGTGAATGTAATTTTATCACGTTGAGTACATATATATATATATATATATATATATATATGTATATATATATATATGTATATATATGATGAAAATCTCGAGGCATTGTGTAAACCTTGAGTACAGGCTAGGGGCATTCTTGGTATTAGCCTTATCGATATGTCTTGTTACACATAATGAATAGTTAACTATAAGGGTAAGACATATGTAGATTCATTGGAACCATGAAGGATATTCTCTGGTGACATACTAGGTTTTGTGACACTTGAGGAGAGAGAATTTGGACTGACAAAATGGACAACACATGAAGTATCACTCATTATGAGGTATTGTTCATTTACCACATTACCATATTAAATCTACATCAGTAAAGTTGAAAGCACTTGTGACCATGGAAGGCTCTGCGTGAGTACATACAGTTACCACCATGATTCGGTGTTCGAGACTTTATGAGAACGGATTAACTATTAAGAATAATTTCTAGACCAACATAAGAGTGTGCACACAGTTCTGTTTCAATTAATATCGCCCAAGTGGGAGAATGTAAGAATTTCCTAACGTGGGCTTCATTAATTGAAATTAACTAAATTAATTTGGTCTAATAAAGGTGAGATATGTGAGTTCTTAATAAGTCTAATATGGGGCTAGCTAGTGTGGGCCGAGTACGGCCTGGCCCGTAATGAGAGGGCCCGTGGTTGAAAACTCTATATATAGCGCTCAAGTCTCTCTCTTAACCTGATGATGCACAATCTGACTCACATACAGATCTAGAGAGGAATTTCTTATCGTGAGTGGCAATCTCATTAGGCCAGTGTCCGACGAAGGGTATAGGGGAGATGCACTTGAGTTCGTGTTCGGAAACCGTTGCAAATTCCACGTCAAATTCGATGGATTTCAAATCAGGTACGCGAATCGATAATTTATCCATTTACGTGTTTCGGTTTCTGATTATGGTAATCCTGGGTGTGCCATTTTCGTGTGCCATTTCTAAGCAACAATGGTAATTACTTGGGGCTTCTTTTCAGAATGCCTCGTCCTTTGAAGTACTGCTCAGAGATGATTCTGTAACTTTCTCGTGTTATAAGTTAGTAGTTTTGACTACATGCTAGTTTGTAGATTATTACTCGATAACACCTTGCCAAGTGAATTCTACTGATCTCTTCGTTAAGTCAGTATTCATCGTTTCACAGCTGACAGCTATTTATTTATAAGCTGGTCGAGTAGAAAGTACATACAAATTGGTTAATACTGGGATGAAGCCACCCTGTCGTGATCGCTTTCACGGTGGCAATAGCTTCCAAACCTCCAGCAGCACCAAGACAGTGTCCAATGATAGACTAAAAAGGTATAATTTGTTAAAACAAGTCAATCGGAGAGAGAGAGAGAGAGAGAGAGAGATTACCTTGGTTGCATTTATTTTGATCCCTGAGGTGTCCTTGAACACCTTTTTTATGGCATTAATCTCGGCCAGATCTCCAGCAAGAGTTGAAGTTGCATGTGTATTTATGTAGTTAACCTGAACAGTTAAAGAACTTGTACGATCAAGTTATCTCTGGCACCAAGTAGCTTATATGCTCAATTTCCAAAGGCAGGCATGACCTCAGATAATTACAGGCAATCATCAGATTCTGCAGATCTAGGATGATTACCTATAACAAAGATGTTTTATAAACTTTAGGAGTTCCTTGAACTATAACAGAAGGCATCCACCCTTTAAATCAGGTCACAATATGAAAGCCTTTTGTTTGGAGCCATCAGCCCTTACATCTAAATTGCCTCATGAGTGATTATAGAGCAGCATTATTCCTAGTATCGATTGTGACATCACTTGAGCAGCCATCGTGATCAGAAATAATCAACAGGCTGTGCAAGCCATATTTATCGCTGAAGATGAATTCAGTCGACATGTAAAGCTCATCTTTCTCCATACCCACATTGGCAAGGTAGACAGGAAAGTCTCATCACCACACGCACACGCACACACACTTAAGTACAAACGAAACTTAGTGTTTTCAAATATCAACTGCTTACAACGAAACTTTCAGTGTTTTCATGATTTAACAGCATGATATTACTAACGATCTCCTAATTCCTTCAAATTTTATCTCTCATTTTCAGTTTTTATGAATCATTGTGCTTTTCCAGTACACCTGTTTGGACGATAGGATAAAGTCCTCCTGAAGCATATTTTATCTGTAGCGCTTGAAAGCTTGTCATATATTTTGGCTTAAAAATACAAAAAAGTGGTGCCTAAATTACATAACCAAAGAAAATTTCCTGCTTCTATTAATGGCTTCTCGGACACAATAGCAATACCCTCAACTTTTTGGAAGGGCCAGCTGTTATGTTGTCAATTTAGATTTGGCATGGCCCGATATTGGCAGATCCATCAACCAAAAAGGGCTGCAAAGACCTACATCTTTTTAGAGGTGAGGAAAGACAGCCATATCAAATTCTAGAATTGACATTAGCAAGACCCTCTCAGCCATGTCGAGCACACAGTGTCACTTTTTGGAGGGCACACAGCAAGACATGTTCTTTAGATTGCTTGCAAAGAAGCAAGGAAAGACAGTACTCCAAATGGTTGTTATAAAGACCTACTACATCTTCGCCCATCAATTTGTTTTTGGAACTAGGATTGACATTAGCTATCGCAACTCTTATTTGCAGATGACACGATCTTCATTCTGGATGGAATAGTAATGGAATGTCAAAATCTGGCAAATCTATTGAACCAGCGGTCAAGCTATTAACCTAAATAAGTCGAGAGTATACTTCAGCAATGGCTACCTGCAGTACCTAAAGAGGAATATGGCGCAAGAATTGGGAGTCCCGATCATTGAGAAGACTAGGAAATACTTAGGAATACCCTTAGACTGGGGCCAATCCAAGAAATGGATGTTTACTTGGGTCCTAGCAAGGGTTAATATGGAATTAGAGGGTTGGAAGAGAAGTTGATGACTAAAGCGGAGAGGAGATTTTAGTTTAGTCAAAACTGTTGTACAAGCTTTGCCATAGTACGTAATCTTGATATTCAAGATCCCTATCTTGATGGTTCAAATGCACGAAATCCTTTCCTTCTCAATTCTCTGCAATGAGCATGTCCACATAGACAAAAGCTCCATTTTTTTTTCGGAAAATGAAAGATTTGGAAAATATTTTCCTATTTGACCAAAAACATATTTTCCTAAAAAAGTTGCTTGTATTGCTTGAAATAATAAGTCAATAAAAAAATGTTTTCGCTGTCCACAGTATTTTACGACCAAACATTTTTGTGAACAATGAAAATATTTTTCATTCGTTTATTTTTATAATTGATACAAGTGATCATTTTGAGAAAAATGTTCATTTTCCGCGAAACAAACGCATCCAAAAAGATATTAAAACCATAAATACATTTATTTATAGAATTTTAATGAAAAATATCAAAATTGATCTTTCTTTCTTGAATCCAATACAAGATGGGTGTTTCATTGTAGCCAACTTACAAAATTGTCTCATAACCATATAATATGCAAATCTTTGAACAATTAATAACGCGATATATAAAGTACCGACGTGGATAGTGAAGGGGATGCGTCTATTGGGTAATCGTAGACATTGATGAATAGATAACCAAATGCGCACGATAGTCCTTAATACATGGATTAACCCATATGATTTTCCTAAAACGTGATTAACTTCAGCAAGATATACCACCGATCAACCTAAGATTACCAAAGTGCTATCTTATGTAGCCTGCCATGTTAAATCACGAGGATTTAGTAATCTCAGCTAATTGCTGGTAAGGTCGCAATTGTCGATCCGATCTTGTGTGACAACAAATTCGGACTGCCCTTATTTTGTAACGTGCTAAAGTTTGGAATTTTCTGATACTCAATAGAGATAGATATTTCCGACAAACATAAAAAGTATCAACTTGGTCATTTAATTCGAACCGTGAATCCCTCATTTGAACAAAGGAAAAAAAACGGTAGATTTGCTCTTACATGTGTTGAGAATAAAGAGTTCAACATGCTAAAAACCACTGATTTGTTAGTACACGTAGAGAACCAAAGAGTGGAAAAAAGGATGGCAGAGGTACGATGCTAATAAGCCACGACTATGCTATGGCTAAAGCCTTTGCTGTTGCTGCACTACCAGAGCCGAACAACTGGTGTCGAGATCGGTGGAGGCCAGTAGGTCCCCTAAAATCCCGAGCTCTGGGAGCTCAGTCCATGTCGAGAGCCCTGCGGTCTGGATGCATTCGAGCCCGTGTCGACGTCCAACGAGGATCAGATCGAACTGGTGTGCCAGGGACCTGACCAGCCTGGCCGTCTTCGGGCCGTCCTTCACAATCTCCTTCTGGTACTCGACGTTCTTCCCCAAAAATCCTTCCTTGAAGACCTTCAGCGTCTCCCCGTCGATCATCTTGTCCCAGCTGATGATGCACCCGTCCTCCTCGTCGACACCTAGGTGCAGTACCGTCAGGTAGAGCTGGGGGTCCCTGGCCATCCGCCTGGCAAGGGCCAGGGCCTCTCGGTCGTCATTCCCGCCTAGGAAGAACACGGCCACGCGGAACGGCTCATCCGAGGCAGCGGCGGCATTTGGAGATCCCCCGCGATCGATGAGTATGCCAACGGAGCAAGGCGCCCACTGGAGTACGCTGCAGTTGAGGCTGCGAATGTGGTTGTCCTCAGACACGACGGAGCCATCGATGGACGACCACCTCTTGTGGAAGGGGAGGAGGATGAGGGCGGTCAGGTTGTCCAGGGCGGTGTGGCATATGTCCTCATACATGAGCTTCGGAGGCGACACAGCGGTGAAGATGCTGGCCTGGATGGCCCCGGGGTTGCTACGTGCGTAGTGGGAAAAGGCAGAGATGAGATGGTCCGAGTAGGACGTGCCGTTGGCCACCTTATTTTGGAGCTCGTGGGAGATGAAGATGGGCATGGCCCGTCCCACCATCTTGATCAGGTGGAGCACGTAGACCCGTACGGGGCCCTCCAGGGTTGGGTAAAAGGCGTCGACTAGGTCTATCACAGGGTTGATCTGATCGGCCCGGTGGATGCAGGCCAGGACTGGGACCTCCGAATCGGGCTTCAGATGGACGACATTGCGCTTCTGGTAGCCCGCATACTTCCTAGATTTGTTGAATAGAAGCTTCACCAGGATAGGCATGAGGCTCGCCAAAGCGAGCACGGCCATCAGGGCGAGCCCCATCCGGCTCTCACTGAAGAACTCCATCTCGTGGAGGTACCGATATATACCTAGCTCGACGACCCCCTTGCAGCACAGGATCAGGGCGAGGGCCAGCGAGTCTTTGACGGGCATCTGACAGAGCAGCGGGGGCACGAAACATGATGCGAACTTGGACACGAACACAATGGAGACAAGGGTTAGCTCGACCTTCAGCCCTTCGACAGAGGCCATCAGTACCGTCAGGTCCACCTTCGTGGCTGTGACCGTCACGTAGATCGGCAGGAGGAAGCCAACGAAGAAGCAGTCCAGCTTGTTCACTATCGTGGAACCCAGCGGGGGACCATCGGGCACAACCAGCCCGAGAATAATAGACCCGAACAGAATCGATTGGCCTAAGTACTTGGACAAGAGCGAGGACAGCAGGAGCGTGGCCAGGATTGCACGGAGGTAGCTCTCCTTCACCGGCCTGCCCTCGGGGGTCTGCCTGATCATCCAGAGCATTGCGGGCCGCGCGATGAGTGTGACCACCAAGAGATAGCCCGCGGTCATGGCGAAGTTCTTGTAAGCGTCCGCCTTTTTCAACCTCATGAGCGATGTAAGGAACAGGAGCAATATGGCGAGGACGTTGCTCACAAGGGACGAGGACAATGCGAGGCGGCCCAGCTCGGAGTTCTGGATCTTGAGGTCGTTGAGGAGGCATGAGATCACAGGGAAGACAGTAACGGACTGCACCGATGTCAGGGCCACGATCTCTGGAACATCGGGCTTGCGGAGGTCGGCGAGAGCTAAAAGGGCAGCGCCGCCTACCATTAGCGGGACCAGGGTGGCCGCCACCCCAATTGTCCATGACTTCTTCCCGACCTTCCGTAGCATCCCCATGTCCGTCTTCACCCCGCTCAGGAACAAAAACAGCGTGTACCCTAACAGCTCCACTGCATCCAGGATCTCCTGCGCCTGCGAATCGTCAACCCCAAAGTTCGGAAACAGGAACTTCTTCATATTCTTGTTCTTCCCGATCATCGTAGTCCCAAGCATGATCCCTGCCTATATTAGTTCCGCCCCGAAACCGAACAAAGTTCCGCGCTCATTATTAGCATCTAAACAGTGAATTCCGTTCTTTCCTCAGGCAAAAAAGAAGTAAAGAGAAGAAAAAAAAAACGGCGTGGTAGAGAGGAGGACGAGGGAAACCGTACGAGGAGCTGCGTGGCGAAGGGAGGCAGGCCAACGTGCTTCAGGACGAAATGGCAGGCTTGCGAGACGGCGAAGATAAACACCATCTGCAGCTGCAGCTGCGGCATCGCGAACTGGAGCACGCCGTGTTCCCAGTAACCCTTCACTTGTAATCCCTGCGAATTGATCTTCGGGGGGAGCGTCATGCAATGCTCTTCCATCACCGTCGAGTTCATGCCCGTCTCTCTCTCTCTTTCCTCGAGCTTCCGCGCGCCGCCTTCTTTGGTCGCGGACTAGGTGAAATCGGGTGGATCTTTGTTCCTTCTTTCGACTCTCGATCCCTCTTCGACAGGCTTTGCGTGGATGAAGGATTCGGGTGGATTCGCGAGCGCGTCCGTCCCTCATTGATCTAGGATTAGCTATCGTTTCGTTAGAACAAGGAACCATGGAATCCGGGCCCATATTCATTTTGTTCCATCCACGCAGTTAGATATAGTTACTGTTCTTTTGTCTGTTGGGATCGTCAAAGGGGGCGTAGAAGCCTTCGCAGGGATGCCAGCAAAAAGATATAGGATGACAGGAAAAGATCGAACCGATTAACAAATTCGAGTCGAGTTCGTACCAGAACCAGAGAGAGGTTCTGCTAATTTTGGGTACGGAGAACAAATATCTCTCGACAACATCCTCAGACCCAATCACAACGAGGGTTGTGACTTGTGAGTCTCATTCCCATTCTCTCTCTCTCTCTCTCTCTCTCTCTCTCTCTCTCTCTCTCTCTATGCCATCGAAATTACGGCAATGCCCCCGATTGATCCCCGAAATCCCCACCATGCCCCCCCGAATCGATCCGTGCTCTGTAAGCGAAAAAAAAAAACAAAAGAGCCGATGATATTCCCCTGTTCCTACCACCCCCGTTATAACCACCCCCCACGCCCTCCACCCTCTCTCCATCACCGGACCAGTAGAGAGAGAGAGAGAGAGAGAGAAAGAGAGAGGAAGGGAGAGAAACGAGAAACCCATTTCGCTGCTAGCGTCGGCGTTTCGAGATTCGGGAGGGATTTCGAGGCGAAATGAGGGAGGAGGAAATGGCGACGGCGGCGGCTGCGGGGGCGGGGACGGGGGTGGGGGAGGAGAAGGAGAAGAGGAGGAGGAGGAGGAGGAGGTGGAGGTGGGGGCTGTGGTCGATGGGGAGGGCGGCGAGGAGGGACCGGGCGGCGTCGTGGTGGGCAAGGGTGAAGTTCCTGGGGAGCGCTTTCCGGTGGAAGCGGGTCAACATCCAGCTCTCCTTCTTCGACGACGTGGTCTTCAAGCTGGTGTCCGTCCTCGAGGCCATCGTCCTCGTCTCCACCCTCTGCTTCTTCTACCTCTTCTTTGGCTGCCACTTTTGAACCATTTCCATCGACGCCGCTTTCGACTCGCTCCCCTTCCCCGTTTCTTGCCTCTGTTTTTTTTGGGGGGGAAGGAGGAGGGTGTTCTTGCTGTATGTATGCTGGCATGTATTGCTCCTTTATCTCCATTAGAGCTTCCTATTTGCAGAGAGAAACAGAGAGAGAGAAAGATGGTCGGCTTTGGAGGATTCGAATCTGGTTCTGTATCGATGAATGCGAGCCGTGATGGCGATGGTGGTGATGGGTTGGGGTTTGTGATCGCTTGGGAAAATGTAAATAGGAAAAGCTTCGAGAGCTTCAAGTCGTTGACTCTCTCTCTCTCTCTCTCTGTTTCTGAGCGGTTTACCTGCTGCTGATCAATGACTGCTGACTTTCCCAATGATCATCTGCAGATTCTCGTGGCGCGATGAGTTCGAGTTTTGTTAATTTACATGCGATTTCGAGTCGCGGGTCATGTTCAACTTTCAATAATATTTCGATAACTCCGACTTAATCCGTGGATTTCGTGAGCTACTCGCGCTAATTTACTGCATTTCTCAATAATCCGTAAATTAATCACTGGATTAAGGAGAGTTAATCACACTCTCTTGTCTTGTGCCCGACCGCGTCATCTTCTTTAATGTAACAGAGGATGTATGTATGTATGTTGTTGAGCTTTCCTGTCAAGTTCTTCGACCAAATTTGTCTGACGAAGTCGAAGTTCAAGTTTGACTTTGTGGCGTGCCGTGATTCCAAAACCGCCAGTCTACAAAGCGCTGGGGAAGGAGGCGAATGGTACTTAGGCGTCGCATCCGAGGGAGGATGCATCTCCATGGCCACGGTTTTGAAATTTGTCTAATTACTTTTTTTTTTCCTTTTTATATGTTGCTAATCTTGTATCTGACATGTATATAGCGTGTAGGCTCGTCGAATGAGTAGGTTGGTTTGAAAATAATCCAATACAAATTGACACATTTAATCCGTTTTGATAAATTTCCATACAATACAAATCTAATGACTGATACTCGACTCAACTCATACTCAACTTATACATGATCTAACCCAATTCATATTACGAAAACACTTCAATGTTTAATCCAATCTAGGAAGCTCGTACTCAAACTGAGGTGAAAGCGCGGAATGAGCAAACTAGAGATTAAGTGATGGCGAGAGAGAGTGAAGAGAGTCACAAAAGTGGGTTGGGTGTAAGTAAATTGCGAATCTATTTAACACCCATATGATCTATTTACCAAATATAACTAACACATATAATAACCTAGTCCATCAAATATAGGTTAAGAAATGGGTTTATGACTCATTTTGACAGTCTGATAATGCATACAAAGAATTTCATATACATAATTAAGACATTATTAAGAATGAAATGGTAATTTGAGTTACTCTCATCCCACCCATTTCCAAATTTCAAGCGGGGCGTCGTCGTTCATTTTGACCAGGCATTACATTTTAAAAGAGAGAACCAGGCATGTAGCCTTCTATTTCGTTTGTTGTATATGTAGCACATCGCCATGAGAATAACATCTCACTATCAACCATTTAATTTAAAAGGAAAATGTAAAAAAAAATGTCTCTCGAACACTTGTTAAAATATGTAATTCTTTTCACTTAAAAAGTGTCTTGAAAAGTGTTATTTTCGCTTTTAATTAACTTAACTAGTGCTTTGAAACGCTTATTAACAGGACCCAATTTTAAAATTTCAAAAACAACAGGACCAAATTAAAATTTCGGGAAATCCAGTTTATCATTATCTTGTTCGCTAGTTATCGTCACTAGGGATAATTGATTCCTAGATGGGTCGGCTTCCGGCCTAGAACTAAGAATCAACATTTGACTCCGGGATCCAAATTTTGCAATTAGGAACCGAACTGATTGTTTCTTGGATTGCCGATCTCGATCCACTTGGGAACCGGCTCACTTTTTGTTTTGTATAAAAAACTGGATTCATATGATAAAATATAAAAGTAATAAAACTTTGACACACAAAAATTAAGTGTTATGTTGTTGTTTCTTGATACGAAGATTATGGTTCGATTTTCGATGGAAAATATCGTAAAAAATTTAAATTTTTGCGTTCAACAACGAAATTTATTTTTTTTGTAGTTAATGATTATCGACGAAGTGGGATCCGTTTCTCAAGAATCTTGAAAATACTCTCAAAATCATATGGTGTAGGCTGATTGCAATTTGTAGTCAACGGACCAAAAAACAATGTGATAATTTATAGGGGACCTTGGCTCCGTAGGCCTACAATAAATAAATAAATAAAGAGGGACAGCAGGAGCTGAACAAAGCAAACAAAGGAAGGGAAAAGGCCAGACAATAATGACAACCAACGAAAGACATCCCTCATTCCTATGAAAAATAAAATAAAAAAACAAAAAAAGATATGCTTCATCATCATTTGTCATAGAATCTAGAGATTCTGCCTTTGCGTGTTTCAGGAGTAAAAATTAGGGAATTTTCATGGTGGCAAAATTTTCACTTTTCAAGTTTAGATCTTATTCATAACGACACCTCCAAACATGTATAGTACAATTAAAAACGTTCGTAAAAATTATAAGAACTGCGGATTCAGAGAAGCCATTTGAAATAAATCGATCAAAGTCATATTGCACTATAGCCAAAAAATTAAGTCAACTTATCTTAAATCCTACTAATTTTGCTGGTGATTATCATTATTCGATTAGCAGTTCGACTTCCCCCATGTAATATGTTGAACCATTCTGTTCTTGTACGATTATTGAAGTAGTTTTGTGCAATTTCAATTCGAAATTCTAACCAAGAAAAATTCCAAGTCAGGAAACCGACCGTAAACACGTGACTTCTGTAGATACAATATTCTAAATAAGCTTCACACTTTGGCCCTTTACTGGGCTTATTCAACCTTATACTTTGTTTTGGTACAATGCTAGGCATACTATTTATTGATGAAATCTGAATGATAATCATCGCATTTTGATTTGAAGCCTAATGAAAATGTGGACTAAAAGCCGGCTATTGATTAATATGTGATACGTTGTGTAAATTTCTGTAGTTAACATTATTGGTGGTCTCATTAGTAGTAATTGTATGAAATTTGCATTTAGTTAGTAAATATTGTACGAGTTGAGACGGACCCTCAAACTTGATATCTCCCCGTCTAAGGAGAAATCCCTATTAATGTTAATCTGGATTTTGTGTCATGTCAGATGGGAAGACTTTCTATATAACCTATTTGTAATTAAAATGAAAAGGCATTGCCTAATAAATTTTGAGTTAAAGTTGTGATTGGAAGTTTTAAAACTCAAGGAGATGGCTTGACTTTTTTGAAGAGTTGTCCTCTACAGCGGTGTTAAGTCGGTCGGGCCAACTTGGGCACCACACAACTTGTTTGTCAGTGGGTCGGGGCAAGGGCGGCCCAAATTGACTAGTCGGGTAGGGCCAACCCTGACCTATGGTTAGTAGCCGTTGGTCAAAAAAAAAAAAAGGTACGCCTTGGCACAACTCAACTCGAAGCATAGGTGGTCATGCCCAAGGACAACCCGCTCACAAATAGGTTGAGCTAGCATGGATCGCTATAGTGCCAGACACGATGAACCACATGTCAGGCCATACCGAACCAACTCATTTAGAATTGGGTTAACCCCATAAAAAGCCTGAACTTTGTCCCATGAGACACTAATACCTCAATTTTTTGTTCTTCACCAATATCCCAAACTCGTAGTGTAAAGACCTGGTCATATGAGGGCAAGGGATGGTCACTGGGGTCAAAAGGGCTTAGACAAGGAGCGACTCCTGGCAGGCTTCTAGGATGGCGAAAGGGGTAGGAATAAACCGAACTATGCACCAAACAGGGAAAGAGCAATTCTGATATATATATATATATATATATATATGTGTGTGTGTGTGTGTGTGTGTGTGTGTGTGTGTGTGTGTGTGTGTGTGTGGGAAAACTGAAATTAACTCACGGAGACTCATTTTGACATAACGACAGTGCTTAGCTTTGAAACTCCAAAGTTAAACGTGCTCAGACGAGAGCACCACCAA